CCCCCTCTCGACACTGTGAGCATGGAGTAAACATAAAGCACGCAGTGTGCCATCAGCCCCAGAACACACACACACATACTCACTGCCCCATGCACCTCCGATCTCAGGTGCGTTTCTTCCACAGCGCTAGTGTCCTGGTGGTCCTGATAAATGGTTTCACCTCTGTGAGCCCTGGCATCTCCTTCTGGGGTGGGGGTGGGGGAGTGAGAATAGCCGAGGTTGTGGGGCTGTAAGAGCTAATCTGTGCTGTGGGGAGCAGATACTGGCTCCCCAAGAGCTTCCCCACCATGCCAAACCTGTCAACATGGTGCCTTGCACGGAAACAGTCGTCACCAATGCACCTAAATTAAGAATCTCAAAACGGGGAGATGGTGAGCCCTTAAAAGAGGGAGGCAGGTTAGCCAGGAGGGTGAAAACATCATGTGGGGACAAAACAGGCCTGAGGGAGAGTGTGAGAGATCCAAAGATGCGTCCCTGCTGGCCTTGAAGACCAGCTTGATTTAAGGAGTTTTTAACTCTACTTAACTTTAGAATCATTTTGGAGTCACAGAAAAGTTGCAGAGGTGATAAGAGTTCTGTGGACCCAACACCCAGCTTCCCCTATTACCATCATCTCACACTGCGCACAGCTAATGAACGGTCCACGTGGGCAGTAAGTTCTCACTAACTAAAACCCCTATGTTATACAGACTTCCTTAGTTTTTCCCTTCCCCTCCTTCCTCCCTCTTTCTTCTTTTATTCTCCTCCTCCTCCTCCTCCTGCTTCTTCTTCTCCTTCTTCCCTTTCTCCTTCCCCCCCCCTTCTCTTCCTTCTCCTCCTTCTCCTCCTTTTCTTCCCTCTTGATGCCCTTCTTCTGCTCTAGGATCCCTTCCAGGACACCGCATGATATTTAGTTATCACGCCTCCTTTGGCTCTTCTTCACTGTGACAACATTTCAGACTTCCCTTTTTGCTTGTCTGTTTTTGCAGTACTGAGAATTGAACAGAGGAGCTTAACACTGAGCTACATCCCTAGCCCTTTTTTAAAATTTTGAGACAGGGTCTTGGGAAATTGCCCAGGCTGACCTTGAATTCATGATCCTCAGCCTCCCAAGTAGCTGGGATTACAGGCGTGTGCCACCACACCTGGCTGACTTTCATTGTTTTTCATGACCTTGGAGTTGGAGGAGTCCTAGCCAGGTGCTTTGTAGGATGTCCTTCCTCGTTCCCTCTTGCAGTAAGGGGGATTGAGCCCAGGGTGTTTGCACTGAGTTACAGCTCCAGATACAAGATCTTGCTAAGTTGCCCATCCTGGTCTTGAACTTGTAATTCTCCTGCCTCAGCCTCCCAGAGTTCTGGCATTACTTGCATGTACCACCATGCCCAGGGAAGATGTCCTAATGTTTAGGGATTTCTTATGATTTCTGTTTTTGAGACAGGGGTCCTGCCATATGGCCAGGCTGGCTGCAAACCCCTAGGCACAAGTGATTCTCTTGCCTCAGCGTCCTGACTAACCAGGACTACTTGCGTGTGTCACTATACCCATCTGATGATCATAATAGAGTCATGGGTTTCTTGGGGGAAGCCCACAATGCTGAAGTGCACTTCTCATTGTGTCATAGCAAGGCCAACAAACATCAACAAGGCCCATCAACCACAAGGCTGACCTTGGTTACCTGGCTAACCGATGCTTCCCAGGTTTCTCTACTTCTAAGTTACTTCTTCTCACTTCCCATCTATCCTGTTAGGAGGGAAGTCACCAAGTACAGCCCCTACCCAAAGGGATAAGGCATATTCCACCTTCTCAAAGGGGACGTAGCTCACATAAGTCACTTGGAATTCTTCCACGTGGGAAATGTGTCTTTTCTACCCTGGTCAATCTTTCATTTGTATAACTATGGACTCAAAGATAATTATTTTCTATTCTGGGTTACACTGCAATGCTGTGCTGTATATTTTATTTATTTATTTATATTTGTTTTTTGGGGACAGGTTCTCACCATGTAGTCCAGGCTGGCCTCGAACTGACTATGTAGTCCAGGCTGGCCTTGATCTCGTGGCATCTTCCTGCCTCAGCCTCCCAAGTGCTGGGACCACAGGTGTGCACCATCATGCCCAGCTTGTGTTGTATATCTTGCGGCACCACAGAGCTAAATCCCTGGCCCTTGTGTTGTATATCTTATTGCTTGAACCCTCCCAGGTGGCTCTTACATCCTCGGGACGTGGTTCTATTGTTTCTTTTCTTTTTGGTACTGGGGATCGAACTCACGACATTGAACTTGTGCGGGAGGCAGCAGAATCACTGAGCTAAATCCCTGGCCCATTGTTTCATTTTTTGACCATTTCCTCAGTTTCTGGTGCTACAAGCTACTCCAGGTTCATCTAATATATTACCTGTTCCAGACCTAGAATCATCCATTTTCCCCAGGAGTCCTGGTTCCATTTATGGGAAATGGCATAAGAAACTAAAAGCTGAAGCCTATATGCAATAAAACACTTTTAACATGAAAACTACTTCGTTTTTGGCAGTATGGAGGGTGAGATATACTGAGCGACCCTTTGGATCAAAACAGCTCACATGCTAGATGACACGTGTTCACTACAGTGGAGCCAAAGGAGGGAAGCTGAAACTTTCAGGGGTCAGCTGGGTCTGGAGCCTTATGTTTCTCCCCCTGGGGAAGTGTGTCTGCCAGCGGGCGCGCGCACTTTAATTTCCTGTCTTTTGAGTTTCACAGAACGGATCACAAAGGTCAGGACAAAGGTCAGGATCCTCTGGTGTACAAGGAACCAAAAATAACGTCCCCAGCGCAAGGCAAAGTGTCACGGGGAGGCACTCATGGGAAGAGAAGGCGGAGTCTCTTGAGAAGCAAGGGTGAAGAGCGGCTTCTCACAGGAGTGCAGCCAAAATTCACGTGACCCAGCGGGGTCTGAAAACCTCCACCTGAGAAATGAAAGTTGCCCTGGCTGGGGATCACACTGCACCCCTGCTGGGAGCAATGCTACATAATTCTAGGGAAAAATCATTTGGTTAGCCTAGTTCTCTTGCCTACAGCCCAGCTACAGAATAACTCCAGTTTGGCCTCCCGTCACAACTGAGACTTCAGTGATCCAGTGATGCTGTGATCCTCCAGGACAAGAAACATCCTGGGAGAACAAACATCTGCTCAGTTCCTCCTTGTTCTTGGACTGTTAACATCTTGTTTGCCGGAGATGTACCGAACTCTCTGCAAGCCTTTTGTTACACCTTGTTTATCCCAATGTGAACTACTGAACTCTCTGCAAGTCATTTGTTACATTTGTTTCTCCCGATGTACTGAATTCTCTGCAAGGCATTTGTTACGAGGTACTGAATAAAAGGTGTGGTAAACTGGGGGCTTTTGTCTTTGCCGCCCAGAGCAGCACTGACCAGATTCAAAGCTCAGGTTCTTCTCCGTCTCATTTTTCTACCTTTCCTGTAATTCGCCGTGTGCTGCCGTGGCTCGCAGGAGACCAGGACTCACTGCAGAGGTTCTGGTAACGTCCCCTTCCCCTGTTCCCTACACACCCCTACCTATCAGAAGCCAGGGTAAATCCATTCCCGAGGAGTCACCTTGGGCCGCGGCATATTCTACAAACGGCTACACGGTTTCCTGGCTGCTCTGCTCTCCTAGGACCACTCCGCACCGCATGAAGAGGCTGCATCTCTGCCTCCCCTCTCCGATTCTACCTGCAATATGGCAAACAATCCACCCTGCATGACTTCTGAGGTTAGGTTAGGAAAGGTGATGTCCCTCTGCCTGGTTCTCGTGTGCTCTCTCTCTCTCTCTCTCCTCTCTCTTTTTCTGACACTGGCTTTCGGGTCCTGAGTGTTGGAAGTCCTGCTGTCTGCAGCCTCCACGTGGAGAAGGCGTATAGATAAAAGTCATAGTGAAGAGATGCTCCGCTGGCCGGTGTGCCCACAAGCCTTCCCACAAGGCTGCCTAACGAAGGTCATCACCCTGCCCTGAGAGAGGGCTGACCTTTGTCCTGGCTATCTGGCAAGTGCTCTCTGGGCCTCAGAATGTTCACAGATGAGAACATCTTTTTTGTGCGAGAGCCTGCCATCACACGTACCGAGGAGGCTTAACAGCATGATTTAAGACAGGTCCTGGCTATACACCGAGGGGCTGGCTACCCAAACCAACAGTGTGACACAAGGCAGGAGCTTGGGATCATGTGATCAGTTGACCCGGAGACTGAAATCAATCATGTGGGCAATCAATCCACCCAACATGTTGATGTAACAGGGCCCCCGTACAGAAAACCTCTGGCCACTGACATTGGAGAGCGTCTGGGTTGGGTGATGTCCCATGCATATTGTTGCCCACTGACACCAAACAGTAACGTCCTGATTCCCCCTCCCTTCCTTGCTCCCCATCCCCGCAATAGCTGCTTCCAGTGGTCACTGTCCTGGGGTACTATCTGTGTCTTCTGCTTTTGGCTTTCCTTGTTCTCCATTATCTGTCTCACCATTTCCTTATACCAACTAATCCTTGTTAAAATAACTGGTGTAGCCGGGGATGTAGCTCAGTGGCACTGCGCCAGCTTTGCAAGTGCAAGGTCCTGAGTTCAATCCCTAGTACCGGAAAAAATAAATAACTGGTATAATTTCTCCTTTCCTATATGAACTTTGATTGAGAGAGTACTTGATACCAAATGTGGTTACAGGAAACAGAACCCCAGAAAGGATTCTGGGTTGAACATGGCCACAGCCTTGTGCTGGACCGGAGTCACTGGGGTATGGAACACAGCTGGGCTGACCTGGATTGCCAGCCCAGGCTCATGGTAGATCATGAGAGCCAATTGTGCACATCTTGTTCCAACTCCATTCAGTGTTGGTAACTTAAAATCAGACACTCTGAGAGTGTTTATCTATTTCTTTATTTAGTGTTGAGAAAGTGTCTTGCTATATAGTTCAGGCTGGCCTATGAGCTCACTATGTAGCCCAGACCAGCCCTGAACTCCTTGGTGATCCTCCTGCCTCAGCTTCCTGAGTGCTGAGATTATAGGCATGCACCACAATGCCCAGCTGATGGGAATGCTTATGCTGTAGTAATCTGCAAAAACTAAAAATCTGAGTTATTTCCTAGTCCCTAGCAAGCCAGTTTGCCATACACCATTAGTTCCAGATTACCCGTGGCATGTACTGACATCACTGCTTTATTACCTGCCTGGGAAGTGCTGGGTGCAGAGGCCCTGCTGGAGTGGTAAGGGTTGCAGAACTGTGGGCTGGACAGCTGCTTCTGAGTCCAGGGGAGCTATTACGGAACACCAATGACATGCTCCAATCTTTAAACTCTGAAGATCAGAGAGTCTACAGATTCCTCAAACAATCATTTATTTCTTGTAACTATAGATTTTCAAACTTGCTGAAAATCTGACCCAAAATTTAATTGGATGGGTTGCATAATTCCGATACAAATGGAACTCACACTGAGTCAGAATCCCAAGCAGTACATTTGGCTGTGTCCGGGAGACACCCAGGAACAGAGGTGAGCACATTTCCTGGGCAGTGGGTGATCCGGAACAGAGTCGAGACTCTGAAGGCGGGTGGGAAGGTCTGAGATGGGAGTGTGGGGGCTTCTCAGCACAGAGTGTGAAGGTGTCTGTGTCCCATGTGAACACACCCAGGGCGCCAGCTACGGTAGTGACTCTCGTAACCAAGTGGACAAAACAACACATTTCTTGTAGGAAGTCGGTCCTTTTTCTACACACTGCAAATGGTGGTGGAGGCTCTGCATGTCCTGAAGATCTTGAACTTCCCCCACCCAGCTGTCACTGCTGAGAGCCTAGGGTGCCAGCGGGAGAGACCAACCCCAAAAGGACGGAGCATCATTCCCTGGGAGAAGATGGGGAGTGTGGAAACCAGTTAAAAATCCTGCAATACGTCAATGCAGATATGTAAAAGAAGAAAGGAGAGCTTATAGCTTAAAATATTAAATAAACATATTAAATATTAAATAAAAGTAACACTGGGCATGTTCGTGCATGCCTGTAGTCCCAGCACTCAGGAGGCTGAAGCAAGAGGATCACTGCAAGTTAGGCCAGCCTGGGCTAGATGGTGAGTTCAAGACCAGCCTGAATTACACAGTGAGACCCAGTCTCAAAAACAAAAACAAAAACAAAACAAAACAAAAATCAAGTAAAAAGTAAAAGTTCCTGGAACAGGTTTATTAACAGCCTAAGAGATAATTAGTAATCAAATATCCAGAAAATGGGACTGTTTTAGTTACTTTCTCATTGCTGGGAAAAAATAGCTGATACCTGCAAGTTAAAGGAGGAAAGGTTTATTTTAGCTCACAGTTTGTAGAGATTTCAGTCCATTGTCAGCTAGCTCCAAAGCAGGGCAGCATGGCAGAGGGCCCTGGCAGAGAAAAAACAGTCCAGCAGCATGCAGGAAACAGTGAACCTTCCTTCTCTCCCTTTTTATTTCACCCAGGCTGCAAGCCTATTGGTTGGTGCCATCGAACCCAGGGTGGGTGTTCCATTTTTAGTAAATCCATCACCCACACTCAGAACTTTGCTAAACCAATCAGTGGGCTAATCCAGTATCATAACCCATGATCCAGTCACTCCAAAAACCTCTACCTATCCGTGCATGAGGCCTTGGGGAGGACATCTAGATACAAGCCCTATCAGGGACACAGAAGTGTGAGATTAAGGTATGATAGCTCAAGAGATGTGGAGAGAGGTATGCAAAAGTCCAAGTGGGGACCAGGGATTTAGCTCAGTGGTTCTGCTGCCTGCCTCGCAAGCGCAAGGTCCTGAGTTCGATCTCCGGTACCAAAAACAAAACAAAGCAAGAAAAAGTCCAAGTGCTTTATAGATTCCTTCTTTTGCCTGCCCTCCCCCCTCCCTTCTTCCCTCCCTCCCTCCCTTCCTTCCTTCTACCACAGTTATATATGAACTTCACTTGTGATACACTAGATCTGTGTATATTAGTAAGTAAAACTGAAACAAAACTTCCATGAAATTATACAGCACACTCCAATACTATTTTCTTTCATTCTTAATACTGATAACAACCTACTAAATTTAATTTATAAGCCTCTCTTGGGAAACAACCTGTAGTTTGAAAAACATTAATTGAATAAAATATTAATCAGAATTCCAGATGTAAAGCGGAAGAGATGGGTGTCGAAGTAACATTTAAAAGAGGTATTGAGGCCAGAGATTTAGCTCAGTGGTTTCGCAGCCTGCTGCACAAGCACAAGAACCCTAGTTCGATCCCCGCTACCAAAAAATAAAATAAAGGGCTGGGGATTTAGCTCAGTGGTTCCGGTGCCTGCCTCCCAAGCGCAAGGTCCCGAGTTCGATCCCCGGTACCAAAAAAATAAAATAAAATAAAATAAAAAATAAATAAATAAAAGAGGTATTGTCACATACACTACAACACAGATATACCCCAGTGGGTATCATGCTAGATGATAAGCCAGTCGCCAACGAATAAATATTGTGATTCCACTTCTATGAGGTACCTAAAATAGTCAAATTCATAGAGACAAGCTGTACACATAAAAAATGGCAGATGGAGCCCAGTGTGGTGGCTCATGTCTCTCCAGAGGCTGAGGCAGGAGGACCACTGCAAGTTCAAGGCCATCCAGGGCTACACAGTGATTTCAGGATCAGCTATACCCCATAGGAGGTACTGTCTCAAAAGAAAAAAAAAGTGGCAGATGGTAAATTCTATTTTACACATACTATGTATTCTACCTCAATGAAAAAATAAAAGTAAGTTAAGAAAAGCTGTTATCTGAGGATTTTTCAGAATGATGAAAGACACCAATCAGCAAATTCAGAAAGCCCAAAGAATTCAAGCCAGGATAAATAAAAAGATACATCATAGTGGAACTCCAAAACACAAAAATAGAGGGACAATTCAGATACTCACTGAAGGAATGATGATGAGATTGCTGTCTGACTCTTGAAAAGTAAACAACGGGAGGAGACTGCACAGTGCCGTCCTCACTGTGGTGAGGGAATGAATTGCTGCTCTAGCAAGCCAGCCTCAGTATCTTCAAGAACAAGGGCAATAAATAAAGTCAATTTGCAAACGACAAAAATCGAGATGGTTCATAACAACAAATTCTCACACACACAAGATGTAAAGAATGTACCTCGGACATAAGATGATTGATCAGTTGTGTAAACTGAGACATAAGAAGAAATGACAAGCAAAGAAACTGTAACTGTCTGCTGACAGCATGAAACAATTTAGCATCAGGTTGAAATGGAAAAGACTATGTAGGCGACCATACCACCATGCACGCGCCCGATCTTGTCCAAAATGAAAAAGACTGAACAACATGTAAGGTACTACAATTAAGGAACATAATTGTGGGGATACATAATTAGAGTTAAGATACTTGAAAGTTCTTACAGTTTAAGGGAGTAGGGTAAAGATATTTTAGAAATTGGACTTCCTCCTCTCTCTATTATTTAAAAAAATTTTTTTTTGATACAGTCTCATCATATAGTTCAAGCTGTCCTTGAACTCGTTATGTTGCCCAGGCTGGCCTCAAACTCACTGAAATCCTCCCGTCCCGGCCTCCTGAGTGCTGGTATTGTAGGTGTGTGCCACTATGGCCAGGACACAATTGGACTTTCACAAGAAAAGTACTTGTAAAAAATTTTAAGCTAACCATTGAAACAATAGAAATAGAGCATGTTAAGAAAAACAAACACTAAAGAAAAAAGGTAGAAAAAGAAAAATAGGCAAGACACAGGAATAATACTATAGGATGATGGAAAAAAATCCAGATATATCGATAAATATAGTAAATATAAATGGACTAAATGCTTCAGTTAAAAGACAAAGATTATCCTATAAAAACGTTCTTAATTATGAAAAATTTCAAGTGTACAGAAAGGTGGGAAGAACAGTATGAAAAGCATCTATATTCCAGCCTTGTACAGTCAACCATTGTGAAGAATTTACCATATTTGTTTCGCTTATAGCTATGTACAGGACCACAATAAGAACACCTATTTTGTGTAGTAAATGGTATATAACAAAATATTGCTTCAACAGTAATAATGATGTAGAGTATCTTATTTTTGAGGTTAAATAGATCTTGGTTCCCAGCAATTTTTAAACATGATATTTACCTGTGTGGTTACTTACTCAAAGGATGTCTCTTCACTCGATTCTAGCAGGAAGGTGGAATAAGGTAAATTTTTCTCATCATTGTATTCTGTAGCCTTTGTTGCATGAATAAATGGTGTCTATTAGCGAAGGATCCAGGACAGTGCTGGTTGCATGGCAAAGATTTAATGTGGAGCAGCTTTTATTTATGACAGTTGTTTGTTGTTATTGAAAGCATCACCAGAGTGGCAAAAAAATAAGTAAATAATAATTTGGTAGTTTATTATATTTATAATTATCATTTACGATCTGTCATAGTGCCTAGCACGTATCAGTCACCATAAACATCATGTTTACAATAAGTACTTGCATTATTATTCAAAGTCTCTAACAGTGCCTGGCACTACACGAGCAAGAGAACGTGGAAGTGTAGACTTGTTAATTATTATTATTGAGTAAGAAGCCGAACACAGCGGCTGGCCCGACGGCCCTCCCTCCGAAAGCTCTCTTCGAGGCCCGGACCACCTTTCCGGGCACGCAGTACCCGGCCCCTCAGCCGGGCGAAGGCTCGCCCCCTACTGCTTGCAGCCCCGCCCCCGCGGCCTGGGCTGCGCCTGCGCACTGTCCCGGGAGGAGCTCCGCGCGCGCAGCCTCCCTCCTGCCCCTTGAGCTGGCGTAGGGCGCCGCTTCCCGCCGCCCGGGCCAGCCCGCTGCTGCGTGCGTGCGTGCGTCGCTGCGTGCGTGCGTGCGTGCCGTGAGCTCGCCGGGTACCGCGGCCTCGGCCTCGCCCTCCTCCCCTGCGCCTCCTACGCGTAGCCCCCCCCCACCTCGCCGACGACCCCCGCCCGCGCCGCCGGCCCCCCTCTCGGTAGAATTTAAAGGGGGCGCAGCATTTCCGCTCTGCTCAGGTGACCTCTCGGGGTCTCCCCACCAAAGGTCCCCCGCCGCCGAGGAACATGGCGAAGGTGGAGCAGGTTCTGAGCCTCGAGCCGCAGCACGAGCTCAAGTTCCGAGGTAAGCCCAGGAGGCCTGCCGTATTCGGCCAGCAGGCCGGGCCGGGCCCGGCCATCCGCCCGCCACAACCCCCACCCGCGCCGGAGGGACGGAGCTTGGCGCCGGGTGACGCCGCGCTCGCCCCAGTCCGACGGCGCGGCCGCTGGGGGCAGTGGGGCTTGGCTGCGCCCGGGCTGTCGAGCGCTGCCTGCACCCGAGAGGGCCACGCGGGTCATGTGCGGAGCCCGGGCCTGCTCCTCCTCCCCAGCCCACCAGGGGCCCCTCGCCTTCGAGGCACTTGTCACCTTGGCCACAGTAACTTCTTGACGAGTTTGTGGTTTTCCATCCTCGAGTAACCACCAGGCCGGCGGTCCCCTGTGCCTTCAGGGTACTTCCCCTGCTCTTCACAAAGTCTTAGGTCAGATGTCACCCGCCCAAGAGCCCTCCTGTGACTCTGAGCCCATCGTGGACACCCGCTGTCATTCCCGTGGCACTTCTCACTACACAAAGCCCCCGAGTTTCCGAGTTTCAACACTAGAAGAGAAACTCACTAAGGACAGGTTCTTGTTCATTGGCTGCTGTAAGCCCAATACGTATTAGGAGTCAAATATGTTGGACGAGTTCATGAAAAGACCCTCCCAAGATTTGCTGAGAGTGGCTCAACTTTCCCTCTGCTGTCTTCGTGAGGGAGACTACTGGGGACTTGTAATACTTTGTATCCTCAGAGTTACTTGAAGTCAGAGCCCGAGAAAGCCTGGAGCAACAAGTGTGTATATGGGGAGTCAGGGCTTTGATTTTTTTTTCCCCCTGCACTTACCATCTTGCAATTTGTATGTTCGTGTATACTCAGGCGCGCACATATA